CCCCTGGACCCAAGGGTGTGCCATGCAAATTTTGGCTGCTTTAGCTCTTACAGGGACTGAATGCATAGAGAACAAACAAACAAACAAACAAACATACAAACAAACTTTCTTCTTTATATATATAGATATCAATGACCACATTATCTATACGGTGATGTGTATGTATTTTTTATGTTTATTTGTATAAAAAGACATCTATTATCATCTCCGGTGGTGGCAGCAAAGAGCTAGAATTAAAACTATTTTTAAGTTAATTAATTAATAAACGTCAGAATTAGAAGTCAATTATTCTACGTTATTGTATACAGAAGTGTCTTTAGAACTTAGTAAACCAACAAGCATTTCACAAAACTCTTGCTGCAAAATTTTGAATTCACATAAACTTTCTACACGTGCTCGTTGTGTTTTATGATAGAAATCATCTTTAGTAAAATCATGATGCCAAAGTTCAGTTACATAATTTGAAAAGTCTTCCACGCGCCATAAACGATTTAAACATATAGTTGAATACTGTTTTAATTTATCTAGTGAATTTGTTTCATAATAATAAATAAGGGCTTTTGACAATATCTTCACATCAGCAACAGCCATATTTAAACCTTTAGCGATTGTTGGTGGTACTAAATGTGCAACATCACCAGCTAAATAAATATTTTTATATTGCATTGGTTCAATCATAAAACTACGCAATGGAAATATACGTTTTTCGATCACTTTTCCTTCATTTATTTTCCAACTATTATCATTTGTTTTTAAACGTATTTTTAATTCATTCCATATTCTTTCATCTGGCCAATCGTTTACGTTGTCTGTTGCATCTACTTGTAAATGATATCTTGCTACCTCTTCTGAACGCATAACATAAATAACAAGACCTCGATCATGATATGCATAAACTAAATTGCTTAACTTGCTTTTTGCTGGTTTTGTTACTACTATTATACTTAACCAAGAAAATGGATAAAATTTTTCATATGTTTTTAATATACCATGTGGAATTGTTTTACGTGATATACCATGAAAACCATCACAACCTATAACAAAATCACAATGTAATTCTTCATCTATTTTATTACGTTTATAACGTAAAACTGAATGTTTTTTGTCATAATCAAATATTTCTATATTTTCTATTTCAAACCATATTTCACCATTTCTTTTTAATCTATCTTCGATTAAATTTTTGACAATACTTTGTTGAGGATAAACAGTATTTACTTTTCCATTTGTTAATTTTGATACGGGTATAGAATAATGTTTTCCATTAAATAGAAAATTCATATTATTAGAAATTAATCCTTGACGATGTATTTGTTCACCAACACCAATATGATCAAATAGGTCAACTGTGACTTGTTCAAGTGCACCAGCACGTATACGCGTTTCAATTGATTCTTTTGAACGTTTTTCCACTACAATTGATTCAATACCAGCTAAAAATAATAATTGAGATAAAACCAAACCAGCTGGACCACCACCAATTATTGATACTTGTGTCTGATATATATTTTTATTATTATTATTATTATTATTATTATTGTCATCTTTTTCTATTTGTTGCCTAGTATTGATATTTTGATTCTGTTTATAATATTCTAATAATTCAAGAATAGATTCACTATATGTATCGTGATTTTTTGATGCATAATCAATAGCAGTCATATTTCTATTATCTTTTATAACTGTATTTGCACCAAATTTTAATAATATTTCAACAATTTGTGGTGTTGAATGTTCACATGCATACATTAAGTATGTCATACCCTCTTCATCTGCGTTATTAACATCCATATGGCATTTCACTAGTAAATGCTTAACATTTACTAAACTATTATATTCAATTGCTTTATGTAATACATTTTGATTTTGTTTATTTTTAATACCTGTAGATATATTATGTTTTATTAATAAATCAATTATTATCATACTATTATGAATATTATTACGTTCAACAGTATAAAACAAACATGTTTCATTATTATTATTCATTTCATTTATATTAATTGAGTTTTGTCTAATAAATATTCAACAATGATTGGACATGTACGACAAGCTAACATCAGTATCGTATTACCTTGTTCATCTTTATAATTGATAGAACACTGATGTAATTCTAAAAAATAGATTAATATCTTTTTAATATTAAATGATATTTGTTTCCAATCTAGTTCATCATTTTTCATTGTTGTATAGGATAACCAACTAAGACGTTTTATTAAGTTATGTATTGCTTTTGGACCATATTGTTCTATTATATTTGTATTATAATCACATAGATTTTTAACAATACCAAATGATATATCTATTGTTTTATTCATAATCAATTCTTGTAAACAATTATTAATTGCATATAAAAAATCTTGTTCATTTATATTCACATTATAATTTATTAACAACTTAATTGTACATAAATCATATTTAGATATAGCTAATGATAAACATGTTTCATTGTAAAAATTTACATGATTTATTTCAGCATTTTTTATTTGTATAAGATATTCAGTAATTAATTTCTGTTGTGATCTAATTGTAATAAATAATAGTGTTGAATTTGTTGATAAATGTTTATCATTAACATCAATACGCTTGCTATTTAATATTATATCAACTAGATCAATTAAACCTAATCGACATGACCGAAATAAAAGTTCTTGATGTTCAAAATATTCTAGAGAATTTAAATTTTCTTCATAAACAACACGAAATTTATCTACATTCTTATTTTCAACTAATTCGTTTAGTGTTGATAACATTCTTTTTAAGCTTTTCAGAAAAATGATTAGTATTATGAGTTTACTTTGCGAACTTTTTCTTTTTTTTATAATGTAAACACGATACGGTTGGCTTGTTCAGTGAAAGCGATTGAATACTAATAAATTTTCTCTTTCTTTCTCCGATATTGAATTGATCGATCAAACAGCCATGATCGTTTGATTAAAGAGCTGACTGAATAATTTTCTGTATGTTTCATTTGTAACAAGCCAACCGTATCGCGTTTACATTATAAAAAAAAGCTTAACCCTCAAAACCACGTGCTAGATTCCTTACTTTTTTCCTTACGACCAAATGAAAACCGTTGCGAATACGAAATATACGGTTTCGGATGCTCTATCGAACGAACTTGCTTTGAGTCGAAAAAAGTATACGCGTTTTTCAAAGATCGGGTTTTTTGAATAAAAATCGACATTTGGAACATTTCGCTCAAATACACTCAAATTCTCAGGAAATGATTAGCAGAGATCATAGAATGTCGAACTGGGAGAAAAAATTACATAAGGTTTTCAGTTTATGCATACGGGTTTTTAGCGCATCTCTGGAAAACCTTCCACACAATCAAAGTTCAAATCCAACATTTTCTCCCAGTTCGACATTCTACGATCTCTGCTAATCATTTCCTGAGAATTTGAGTGTATGCGAGCGAGAAATGAGTGAAATATACGGGTTTTGATTTTTGACAGTAACAGGCGAAAAACCGGATTTTCATCAATTCGGCTTTTTTTGAGGTCCTAGTTGAGTGAAGAATGAAACAAACATCGCCACGATGATCAGCGTGGTCGATTACCTATGATCCACGTGTTTTTGAGATTTCCAGACGTGTCTGAAACCAGACAGATGTGTCCTCGGAAACCGTCTGTATGTCCGGAACCAAAGGAGACGAAGGTCTGGGCCTTGTGTGATTTTGAGGTTCAACTGTTTTGAGTGTTTCCTCGATTGTGATGGGGCCGACGTTGATGGCTAGGTCCTCGCGTGCTGGTTGGATTATTTGAATGTTTTGTGGCGTGTTTGATTTGACGTTGAGCAGGTCTTCAAAGTAGGTCTTGCGCTTTCATGAGTTCGGTGGTAGAGTTGATCTTGGTGCCGTCTGCTCCTTTGACCTTAGATATGCTGTTGTTTTGATGCTTGTCACTTATGTCGTTTACTAAGGCCCACGTCGTTCTTAGTTCTGTTCGAGTTTGCCTTCCAGGAATTGAACTTCGTCATTCTCGTAAGATCTGTCTAATAGTTCGTTGAGTTCATTCCAGCGATTTTTAGTCGCCACGCTTGGATTTTGCTTGAATGTATTCTTCGCTTTATTCCTCCTTTTAGAGAGGCCAGCTGTATTGGTTGAGACCCAGTTCTTTTGTTTCTTCCGCTTTAATTTCTCGACTAGGTTGGTTGCAGTGTCTTCTACGCTTTTTTCGAAGTTGTCATACTTTGCTTCAATATCAATGTCCGGATTGTCAGCCAGCAGCATTTCGTAACGATTTTGAACTTCGATGTTGAATTGGGCTTGTAGGATAGAGTTTCCTTTGAGTTTGCTCCAATCAAGCTTCAAGCTCTTACATCTACTGTTTTTAGGAGCTCGGAGGCTGATTTGCACCTTCCCACTCGCGATTCATGGTCAGAATTTAGCTCTACTGTATTGTATGCTCGTACGTTTCAGATGGAGTTGAGCCACTGCCCATTGATTAGGATATGATCAAGCTGTGCTTTGGATTGGCCGTTCGCATGCAGCCAGGTCCAAGCTTTGGATTTTGGCTGTGGAAAGCGCGTTTGTGTTGAACGCATGTTGCAGGCTTCACAGTAGTTGACTAGACGGCAGCCGTTGTCGTTGGTTGTAACGTGTATCTGCCAACTGCACGTGGATTTGTCAAGTGGCTGTCCGCACCTAATCTTGCATTTAGATCGCCACCAAGGATTAGGACATTGTGAGGCAGAACGTCGCTGGTGCATTTTTGCAGATCTTCATAGAAGGCGTCTTTCTCTGTGTCGCTTTTGTCTTCTGCTGGTGCATAGGCAGTTATTACGATTGTTGCTGGGTTGTCTGTAAAGTGCACGATCATGATACGGTTAGATATCATCATGGATGAGCAGAAGTGTTTGGCTAGTCTTTGACTCATAAGCAGTCCGACGCCGCCTTGTCCTCTGGCTGTCGCTGAGGAGTACTCGAAGCGCCATGTTGTGCCGTCCAGAACTTCAAGGTGTGTGCTGAGCTGTTCCTGTGTTTGCCAACGATGTTCCTGGACGGCAACGAGATCAATGTTGTTTTTGACGCATCCAATGATGAGTTGATGTAGTTTTCCAGAATGTCTGAGAGTGCTTACGTTGTAGGTGGATATTGTGATGGCCTTATGGTGTGCTGGTGAGACTTTGTTTTTTGTTCGATTTGCCGCTGCATTTGAGCATCTTTGTAACTTAGAAAATTTTGGCACTTCATTAAACTAAGGACAGCTCATCATCTAGCGTGAAAAACAATTTTATTTCTTACAAAGCAATGGTTGAAACTAAAAACCGTTTTTCAGTGTTGTATAGCTGAGTGAAATCAAAAGCATTTTTTACCTAATGCCTCCGTTTTATCTGGTAAGTTTTTGACTATGTGTTTTTCCACGATCCTTAGCACTTGGAACAAAACGTTTCATGCCATTAAATAACCCATAGTTAGAAGTATATGCTCCGCTGTCTGAATACGGAGAAACGCACTTTCGATTTTTCACTTAATATCCGCTAACTGCGCAACATTCGTAAAAATCTCATCCAGATCGAATTTGTACTTCTTAAGATTCGTTTTCGAGGTGGGGACCCTTCAATAGCTTATCGCCGAGACGAAAGTCATAGCCAGATGTGCTGATTTTATCTCAAGGAACCAATTTTTTAATCGATTTCTTCCTTGTTTTTTCGGTAATCCTAGACAGTTGTCCTTAGTTTGTGACTTCATACCTGTCCACGGGTCCGAATGGACCCGTTGGAGAAAACTTCGAAGAAGTTCAATTTTTTTATTTGGTTTAGGCTTTTCGTGCATGAATCGAAGATCCTCATTATACTCTGTCTAGCCATGAATATGCAAGTACGTGTGCCGGTGTATACGAACGCATGTGATTTATAAGACAGATTTTCTGAAAAGTGTTTTAAAATAACAGAGGAATCATCAGATATAGTTGGAAAAAAATCATACATGTGACTGTTCGATCACATGGCGGTAAATGTACGCACACAGGTCGATATATGCTGTGACTTGAGCTGAGAAGATAGAAGAAACTATTGTTACTCTTCTTGGATAGATTTTCTTTTATTCTCCACCTGCTCCTTGTATACTCTCTTATTCTTCGATTTTGTTTCATGTGAATATTAGATGATAGTTGTTGTGCTGTTGGAATGAGAAACATACACATTTTTTTGACAGATATCATACACTTGTCGAACCTTGCGTCCTGGAATTGATGGCTATATATCGCACCCTCGAGATATAACTCGACTTTTTTTTTCCGTGACTAAAACACAAGATTTTTTAAAGTTTCGTTTTCTCTCGAAGGAATAACCTGCAATACAAATAAAACAACGACTATTTAATTGACTAATAACTGAGTTATATTTTCATGTATTTGAATATTTCGATATACTTCAATTGTTTCATTCCTTTTTCTTCATCAAAGAACAAATAAACAACATCTTAACTGATTCAAGATTATTTTTGTCAGTTGATTTACGTATTGTAAATGAAGAAGAATCACAAAATATTTTTTCGAGTATATTATCAAAAGTGAAACCACAACAAATACAATCGTTAGCGTTAGCCCCTTCATTTCATAAGATGAGTATAATAAAATTAAATTTAAGTTTGTATACAAATTTAATATTATTAAAATTAGATAGGTTTGATTATACTAGAACAAGATCAGTACCGTCACAAAGTCAACAACAACAATTAACGTATCTATCAATAAATGAGTTTTTGTATAAAAAGCAAACAAATGCTGATGAAATTTTTGAATTAATGTTAGAAATGTCACCATTAAAAATACGAATAGTAGAGTCACGTTATATTACTGATTCTAACCAAAAATCTTTGTTTTACAAATTGGTGATGCTGAAATTCATTTTGCTTCGGTCAGTTTACAATGGTGAAACAATTATCACAAAATTATCTTTGAAGATTTTCTGAAAAGAACATACATGTTGTTAGTCAACATCTCTCGAAGGAGGCAGATACTGACATATAACTTTTTTGTAAAAAAAGCAAACGATTACCAAATTACATTAGTCAAAAACTATCGAGAATTTTAAAATCTAATTACAATCTATTTATATACTCAGTCAACACTAGACAAAGAACATTTCTTTCCAGTGACGGGAATTCATCTAACAACTACAGACTATACGTAAAATTTCGTCGTAAAAACTCACTAAATGTTTCTGACACTCTATTTATTTATTTAATCAATAATATAAGCTAATTCCCAACAACAAAATACAATAAACCTTAAAAAGAAACTTACAACGAGAAGAATTCAAAAATAACAGAAATTTAACTTTCTCTAAGTATAAATCGATGTACTGAAAAGCGCACATATTAAGAGAATTGAGTTTTAAAGTTTGTACTTCAGTATTTTCAAAATGAGAATATAGCATGGGTATTTCGACCACTACACAAGAACTTTATATTTTCCCCTGGACAACTCCCTGTTTCCCCACAAGAACTTCATATTCTGTGTTTCGCCACAACAAACTCAACTTTTTTCCGGGGTAAATCGAGGTTACTCGACGAGAACTTGATACTTTTTCCTACCGAGATCCGATGTTTCTTCACAAGAACTTCAGCTTTTCTCATGGAAAACTCGGTGTTTCTTGACAAGAACTTCATATTCAAGATAGATATGAACTATGTACTAACTAAAACTTGACCAAGCGAGAATACCTTTTCACTTTTCTTAAACTATATGAAGCGAGTAAGACAAAGAGCTTTCATCAATACCGATATATGTGTCACGTGAATGTA